GTAATAGTGGATAATAATGGATAATAATGGTGCAATGGTTGATAATGAGGGATAATGATGGATAGTACTCGCTAATACTGGAAAATAATGGTATAATAATGGTATGATAATGGTATAATAATTATCGAATAATGGATAATAATGGTATAATAATGCTATAATAACGGATAGTATTGGGTAATAATGGATATTAACGGAAAACAATGGATAATAGATGATATTATAATGTATAATTATGGATAATAATGGATAATAATTGCTAATAATTGCTAATAATTGCTAATAATGGATAATGAAGATTAAAAAACGGATAATGATGAGTAATAGATGGTGACAATGGATAGTGATGGATACTCCTGGGATGTAAATGGGATAAAAAGTGGGCTTATATTAGAAAATGGGATCAAAATCCATAGAAATCTACCAACATACGCATATTGATAACATACGCATATTGATCATTACATAATCCCAAAAGTAATAATACAATGATAATGGGATGTAAACCTAAGAATGGAATACAATGCCATTTATACATGGGATACTACTGGGATAACGGGATATAATGACTATAAATGTGATAATTGGATGCCTAAATTGTCAGAAATGGGGGCGTCACTGGGATAGAACCATTAATCATGGGAGTTTGCCATCCCAAATATATTTATGATACAAAGTGAAAGCACCAATTTCCTGGGTATAGCGTATGCATCATCAATCATCATTGAAAGGCTGGTGACTGTCTGCGTATCTCCCCAAATCTGCTGTCATAAACATATGCAACATATCCAAGAACATACGACGGCTATGTACTATGGCTCGTTTATGAATCTGTGCATAAATATTGCGATAATAATGTTTATCTGTGTTTATCTTTGCGCGAGACTGCTCTGTTGCTCCAGGCTCAATGACATACTACAAGAGTGCAACCCTTCAACCAGGTAAACTGCAAACACAGAAACCCTGAACAGCCCATTTTCAGCCTCCTTCCCATTGTCACAACCATTGACACCACCAGCCCACCGGCCAAACCTTGTTCTCTTCCGTCTCCATCTTCGCGGTCAATCCTTCGAGCTCCTTGGAATGCTTCGCAACCTGTGCCAGCTGCTGTTTTCCGTTAGGATGACATTTTTTGACTGGATAGAGTGCCGTAGGTATCTGGGGGGTTCTCAAAATGGGGGACCCCCAAGTCACCATGGCTTTTCCAATACCAAGTCATGGCAATCCATGACTTGGGCGATGCAAGGGGGCCCCCCCATTTATGTATGTGTATGCCTGTTGTTGTCTGTGTATGTCTGTGTATGTATGTGCACGTATGTGTATGTATGTGTATGTGTGTATAAATATATATATATATATGTGTGTGTGTGTTTCATATATATATATATATATAAATGTATATGTATATGTATATGTATATGATACATATATATATATGTATATGTGAATATGTATATGTATATGTATATGTATATGATGTATGTGTATATGATGTATATGTATATGATGTATTTGTATATGTATATGTATATGTATATGTATATGTTTATGTTTATGAATATGTATATGTACAAGATATAATTGATATATATTGATATATATATATATGGTATATATATGTATATGGTGTATATATATATGATATATATGTATATGATATTTATGTATATGATATACATATATATATATATATGTAAATGATTTATATTTATATATATACGTATATATTAAAAAACAAAATGTATGCGATATAATTGATATATATATATATATTGATATGTATATGACATACATGTCTATATATATGATATTTATATATGTATGATATTTATGTGTATGTGTACGTGTGTGTATGCATCTGTATATGTACATGTATATGAATATCATCTTATATATATATACACATATATGAATGTACGATATGCTGTATCTGTTCGTATTCACAATTCTGCAAGTGGTCAATCTTGACACAAGCGCTGCCCAGTGCTGCTCGTGAGTTTTTCTAAATGTTGCGATTCATTCCATGCACGGCGCTCCCTGGGTTATGGGCGCAGCAGGCGGAGAATTCGCAGGCACGCAAAGCCTCGTGATCCTTCAACTCTTAAATAAAGCTGAGTTCATTCACGAACAAACAGTGGAAATATGTGGAAACTCTTGAGAAGCAACAGACTTGTACTGGTAGCTACTTTCACCCAATTTTATCCACTGGGCACACATAACCGTGTGCATTTGTGCAACTATTTAGACAAATGGTGACAACTGGCGTAGAAGGACAGCGGGGCATGCCCTTGACAAACCATTGCTGGCACAGCACCTTCTTAGAAGGTCTGCGACAGCCGAGCTCTGTCAGGACTAGACCCTTGTCAAGTCGTAGCAGAACTCCACTGATACTGCCCAGCTCCCCGCATGATGTCCTTTTCCTCACCTGCTGCAGAGCTTTGCTTGAGACACTAAGGTCTCTAAGTAGGCGTGGGACATTGGGTTGAAAAAGACAATGTCAAGCCTAAGTCATGCCTAGCGTAGTTTTGAATGGCATTTAGCATTGTAAACACTGTATCCAAGAAGCCACGCCAAAGTCCTAAAATGCTTTTCTGCATGGAACGCTGTCTTCAACTAAAGAACATCAGCTCAATCAAGTCCGCACGCGTTGAATCTCTGGGCATGGTGGCTGGGTCCGGGTGCCTACGAGGTCCAAATTGAATGAAGTAAAACTCAACAGCTGCAAATGAATGCTCCACTTGGTCGAAAGATTCTTGTTTTTTTACAAGTGTTGCAATCTGTCAGGCTCGTAGGAATGCACCATGTCTTACAACAATGTTCATGCAGCTGCAAAGTCACTTCACAGTGGCAGGACCCTCAAAGTCAACATGCAGCCACATGAACCTGGTATATTGTGACCAGGCAAAGGTCTAGGCAAGGGTTGACTCTGGAACCAAGCAGCCAAGCGTTGCTCTGATGGAAGGTACCATGAGCCGCGCGAAATTTGGAGATCCGCAAAATGCCAGTTACAAACAATTCTCTGTGTGTGATAACAAATGGTGTCTTTGTATGTCTTTGTATATACATATACGTATAGATAGGATAGAATGATATGTATCAAACTCCTGAAGGCACAATCGGACCAGACAAAAGTTCGCTATGCCGAAGGGTGCTACATCACCTCGACCCCTTGGTACCGTATTGAAGCGCAGAAAGCACCACAACTCATGCGCGATGTCTTCCCAAAGGCCTCGGTTTGCAGACTTGATTCAAGTTGCTTTCCTCCCCGTTGGATCCCTGCCATCCAATTGGGATGTGAAAACAAGCTGCCAATTACATCAATTACCTTACCAAATCAAGGCAGGGTACCTCTGTGGAGCACCTTAAAAATGCTCCTGGCACGTTGTTTCGACATGGACAGCTGGGCTGGGCTGCCGTGATCATGGAGCCTACCCTGAGATCAAGATAGATCAAATACGTTGAACTAAATGAAGATATTAATGAGAAAATCATCTATAAATGGTGGATGTTCCATTGAAATACCGGGTTCTTCAAAAAAAACAGCCATCCCATGAAGTACCACACCACAGAGGTCATGCCCCCCCCGTCCCCCAATTCAATGTTGTCTTCTGAAGTTTGTGTTTGGCGGCCTTCAAAAAAAACAGCCATTTCTGTTGATGATGCTCGGCACTTCCGATCACAACATTGAAGTTGGGGGTTGCGGGGGTAAGCAGGGTATCTCTGTGGTTTCCTGTGGATGGCTGTTTTTTTTGAAGAACCCGGTGAGGCTTTTTTTTGTTCCGAGTTCAGTTTAACTGTTGTTGATATGCATGTGGATGTAGATCAGCACACATACACACACACACATCGATGCGACAACATCAGCTTCTGAAATTTACGCATTGTCAAAGCATGCGCTTCTGTAATCTGTGACAGCCCAATAAAGGTGGATGCTAAGGGCTAACCATCAGCTTGTGAAAGTTGCCCAAGATGGTTGTCAAAGCTTATTCTATATAATATGCGACAACCCCACAAAGGTGGATGCTACGGGCCACCACCACAATGTAATATCCAAGGCGCTCAGCTTCCAAAGTCTCGCCCTGCCACCTACAACTCTTGCGCCTGCCACGCTGTTTTCTACTTCCCCACTTCACGGGTGTGATTTGTATGGGCCTGCCAATGCAACGCACATGCAACACACATGCAACACACATGCAACACACATGCAACACACATGCAACACACATGCAACACGAGCATTTTCCCTGTAAATTTCCAAGCAACGTGGCCGCGGGGGCAAAAATCTACACTTTCCATTCTAAGACCGGAGTTGGGGCTGCAAACGTCAAATCCTGCACGTTGACTGTAAATTTACAGGTAAAAAGCTCATGTTGCATGTCGTGTTGCATGTGTGTTGCATGTGTGTTGCATGTGTGTTGCATGTGCGTTGCATGGCAGGTGTGCAGGATAGAGCAGTCACGCTCTCAAAGTGGCGCGCCTGCCACGCAGAACGACAGCCAGTGCACCCCACGACATTGCGGAATCAGGTCAAAAAGGTGTCAAGACTGTCGCTGCATGTATTTCACTTAGCACAACCCATATTAGCACATATGCGCCCGCGCAAGCAAACAGACACACCCACACACAAACACCCGCCCAAACTGATCCCGATGCTTTCCCTGAAACAGTGTCGTCATCATTCTCGCGTTTGTCTGCAGCCATGGGTCCATCCTATTGTGTCTTTTCTGAGTCCGGGTTCTTCAAAAAAAACAGCCATCCCATGAAGTACCACACCACAGAGGTCATGCCCCCCCCGTCCCCCAATTCAATGTTGTCTTCTGAAGTTTGTGTTTGGCGGCCTTCAAAAAAAACAGCCATTTCTGTTGAGGATGCTCGGCACTTCCGATCACAACATTGAAGTTGGGGGTTGCGGGGGTAAGCAGGGTATCTCTGTGGTTTCCTGTGGATGGCTGTTTTTTTTGAAGAACCCGGTATGTCCTTATCTGAGAGCACCACCACAATCACAAGGTTAGTTGTGGTTGACGTTTGTAGCTCTCGTCAGTCCAATGCTTTGAATGGCGATCAATCCCGTCCTTGAAAAAGGAAAAGCGAGTCGCACCCGGAGTGCCCACCAGGTCTGAATTCAGATGACTTTGCTTTGACAGCTCTTTGCCAATCACCGGTGAACCACACCTGTAGGGCGGCTCCGGAACAGGGTCGGAGGAAACCCGGGTTTCTTTGTGCATCGTTAGACACCAAGTTTGAACAAAGGGTTTCTGCCAAGCCCAAAAATCGATAAAAATCGGGACTCTGTGAAATGTCCTCTCTCTGATTTTTTCTGATTAAGCAGGTATAATATCATCCCGAAACAGCAAGACCCAAGGGGTGTGGTAATTCCTCTGGTTTAGGACGTCCCAAAACCTATCTGCAGCGGGTTGCAGGAAGACGCCGATGTGTTGGCCAGCATGTTTTTCTCTGTTCCTCGGCAGACTCTTGACAGGTTTATCAAAGCTTGTGGCCAATTTGGCCATATGGATCCTCAAAAAGCATCAAGGCTACTCTGCAAGATCCTGCAGCTCACAGGGAAGCAACTAGAATCAAAGCTATCACTATGAAACCAGCCAAGATCACTTGCAACATCAACCATTGACCAACGAAACAAACAAACAAACAAACAAACAAACCAACAAACCAACAAACCAACAAACCAACAAACCAACAAACCAACAAACAATAAACAGACAAACAGATAAACAAACAAACAAACAAAACCAAACCAAACAGCCAACTGAACAAACAAACAAGTGCGATCACTGCAACTCAACACACCCACATGAGTATGAATCAAAACAATGGTACCTGTGTGTTCACACCAAAATAGCTCGGACCACCCCCCCAAAAAAATGATGATTCACATGTAACTTGATCCATTCCCACATATGAAACATCCCCATCTATGAAAATCCGCCATTTGATGATGTTCCCATTCAAAGCGCCATTGAATTCGGGGATTTCAACTGACCACATCAGTTCGGCTCAGGAACTGCTTGAAGATACGAGCCCAGTTGGGACGTCCAAAGAATTGTCCCGAGGCACAGGGGAGTTTCTTGACCTGGGAAATCCCCGAACCTTTCGTGGTCGTCTATGGGAAAATCATCAAACTACTAAATGAACCATGGCTATGTCAAACTACCAGAGGGTAATTGCACTATATTACATACACAAAATGGAGGACTGTGAGCAAAACAATTACTGTTGGAATACCTTGGAATTCCGGGCTGACTGTCCAGAGACCTTCTGCTCAAGCTTGGAATTTCAGGTTTGTTGTGTGATGTTGTGTGTGTCTGCAATCTGCGGCCAATATCACTGTTGATGGTTCAGAACCCCCTGCGGGAGTCTCCACTTCAGAGTCCATGCCTCTCTTGTTCAGGGGGGAAATATCCCTCAGAATCTATTGGAGCCAAAAGTCATTTGGGTAAGGGTCTGCCCATTGGTGCACTGTATCTGAACTATCAATACTGTCACGGGTGCCAAATTGCCTGCAAAACTAAATGGACTATGTGATTGAGTCTGACAAATATGTAACCAAGAGAATCGGCAAAGAAAGGGCGAGGTAGCTGGCAAATTATGGCAAATGGAGTTCAAACTTGGGCCCAGAGTACATGGCCTACAAGTGGCCATATCTGCTGTTTGTATGAAAGTCGGGCAATGGGTACCCCCATATCCCCTAAAAATCCCTTTGAATGTCCCTTGGGTCCATCTGTGCTTTCGGCCTGCGATAACTCCACCTCACCGGTTAGGAAGAGAGTGATCTCAACAATACCTGGCAGCCGACATGAAAACTCACCAAACAGCACAGGTCGTACAGGATTCAACCAGGTGATTTGGGATTGCATCTGGGTAGTTGGGATTATGCTCGTATAGCTTAGGGTGCAGTTGGAGAATGGGTAGTTTGTAGTTGCAGGGGGTTGTAAAGCTTGCAGCCGATGGCATCTTCTATTTTAGAACATGCTGTACCTCCATGTGGCGGGTTCATGGGTCCTTGTTCTCCTTTGGATGATAAGGTATTAGTGCTTTGCTAAAAACCATGGTATGATTGTTAGACCCGCAAACCAATCATGTTGATGATGCTTGGCACACAAACCATCCCACGGCTGGTGATCTGATACCAAAATGATGGTTGGTGTAGCCTGGGCCCAAACTCCCTTCCAGCGGGGCAGGCTGACCCGGCTGAGCGTTTGGGGTTTCGTTGTGCAATGGTCTCTATGCTCCTGATCGTTCTCCTGTCTCCACTGCGTTTCCGATCTGACACAAGTGTTTGTAGCTGGTCCAGCGGGGTATGCTGACTGTATTTCACAAACTTACGGCTTGTTTCATTGACTCATGCATGGGCACTGCCTGCCTGGTTTCTGGACACGAAACCCCAAAATTTTCGAACCAATGATGTTGCTTCTCATCAGTAAGGCTGTCAGGCTCGTTGGGCCTTGGATACCTGGTGCTTGGTTCATGTTGGCCAGGTTGACCGTGCTGCCCGTGTGGAGTATCTCAATACATCAGATCAGTTTTGGACGTTGCGCAGACAGATTGTTGAGAAGTCGGATGCTTTGCACTTGTCATCGCTTATGCAAACCGTTCTTTTGAGAATCAGCACAGCTTTGGCCTTCGCCCTATGTCCCTGGTATGTTGCGCTTGCTGTTTTGGTGGCCGTTCCTTGGTTGACCCGCATGGTGTGTTTGCGCGCATCATGGCCAGATTCATTTCTGCTTACCTCGTGCTGATGTGGCATTCCTAGCACGCACGAGCAGAGGCACAGTGAACAGTTGCGCGCTGACAGGGTTTTGCTTGGGCAACGAGCATTCACGCCTGGATTTGAGAGCATCATCGTTGGACGATACTTACCCTTGGCCGCTCCACAAGAGAGTTTTTTTGCTTCGGGATGCTATGCAATCAAGTGCTCAGGCCTTGCGACTGGCTTGGAACAGGTTAGACACAAGCTACCTTGGGATGTCGGAGAACATCATGTCAGGCTTCTCGCTCGGCTTTCCTTCCATCAGTGGTTTGTGGATGACATGGAGATCAGTGGTGATTGGGGTCCTATTTGGCTTCGTTCCTGGCTTGCCTTAGCTTCTTGGCCTGGCACTGGTGTGTGTGTGTGTTTTTTTTCTCCTTCGTCATGCGGTGCGTGGTGGGGTCTGCTGCCCAAACGAGGTTCGCTCAGCTGGGCGTCCTTAAATATGGTGGCCTTGTTCTTCGCATTGGCCTTGCCATTCCGTTCGTTTAGCATCCCTTCTCTAGGCGGTGGCCCCTTGATCACTTGCGCTGTGCCCTGTGGCAATGGCTTCTTCTTTGCCACATGCCGCTTCGACTTGTCAATGGAGATAATTCGCTTGGAGCCGCCAAGCGGTTGAGATGCAGATTGGTACTGGTTCCCTTTCAATCAATATTGACACTGCAGTTGTCACCCGTGCAGCTTGTGAAGGTCAGATCAGCGCCCTGGTTCTCAGGCCGTTTCCGCTAGAGCCGACTCGGCGTGTCATCCAGGAAACAGGAAACATGATGGTTTGTCTGAAAATAAGCTACCCAATATTTGATGGACTATCATCATTGACCCCCATTGCAATTGCATGCACTTGCCATATTGGGAGATTCCCCCGTTTTCAGACACACCCAAGAACCATACTGTCGGTTGTACATCCCATTCTATCCCCATATTAAATCACATTACATCCCCATTCCCCATTATGGTACAAATTTCCCGTAAATATATCATATATCCCCATATAACATTATCCCGTTCTTAAATCTCCATGTTGTGTTTAGTCAATCCCACTAAATTCCTTCCCCCGATAACAGAGCCCAGAACATGGGGTTGTCTGATATCGCCTGCTGCTGGTCCCTCTGCAGCCGCTGAGAGTAGGTCGCAGAACCAGTCAAATTCTTCCTGCTCGTCTCTATGTAAGCTGAAAACTGTGGTGGTTTAAGGAGAAATGTCACAGTAGACTGCAGGAAATCATGCTTGTTGCCAGCCAAAAATGGGAGTTCTGAGTTTCCAGTAGTAGTTTCTGGTCAATTTTGGTATGGCTCACACAAGCAGCTTTCAAGCCAACAGCATCTAGAGGACAACGGCTCTGCAGTCCTGCCCTCGGCAGATCCAGTAGAAGTAAATCCTCAGCCATATCTCCGGTAGAATCTGTCGCAAGAGCAACGACCAGCAGAAGGTCTTGGCATCGGCATGAGGCCATTTGGCCATTAGGCAGCAATTTCATCATGGGCCTTGCAATCGAGCAGCTTTTTGGGGACCTGGATCAAGACATCCACCATCTTCTCGAGAGATGTATCATCTGCAGCCAGCATGGTCCCGTTGTGTTCAACCGACATGGAAGCATGCAGTTGCCAGTGTTTCAGCATCCTTTGCAGGCTAGGCTTGCTAGGCCATAAGGGCATTTTCTAATCTATCTAGTTGGTATTAGTTCGTAAACCCCCAATGAAAACCTTCCAACTTCATAAAATTCTTGGCATCCCTGGTTCCAAGGCAATAAGGCAGTGGATGAAACGAGGCCCGGACCCGAGCCCTTCCGCTTCAGAAGACTCTCTCGTTGCTTGGCGCGTAGCTGCACCGAGCGCAAAATGGAGGCGAAGGGTGTCACCTGACATCCGCAGGTAATTTCGAGCTCTGAGCCCTGGTCAAGTTGTGATTGTTCAAAACTTTCTGGAGATCATTTTGAAGAGTTGCCATGGCATAAACTCGGTGGAGAATTTTGGAGATGCCAAGTTCGAGCGATACTATACGGTAACTGTTGGGGGCTGATCATCTCCTGTCTTGCAGACTAGACTCGCAGCATATCTTGAGACAAGTGGCTCCAATACCTGCACCCACCACCATGAGCGTCTCAAAGCCCCAAACCTTTTGCGCTGGAGCGCCGAAAGGTCCCGTGACTTGCAAGACCACAGCCTGGCGATCTCTTTGCTGGTATATGGCTTGTATGCTGTGAAACAACCACTCAAATAATCTCAAGTGGATGTTCATGCTAGTTGCATCTAGTTGCTACCCAATCTGCATATTCTCATTGCTCTGATCATCTTACAGTAGTTGTAACCCACAGATGCTCAATGGAATGCCTCAGGTGGCAGCATGGTCATTGCCGCGTCACCTCAGCCGCAATCAGGAAAGGGTTCCGCATCTCACTTTCCAATGAAACATCAAGCAAAGATCGCGAGAAAGCCTGATAAAAAAGTACTGCAAGTTGAGAGAGTCCAGAAAGCAATGTTGTGGAACAAAAAACAAAAAACATTTTACATAATCTTACATAGCTTTTTGCAGTAAACTGTACAGAGAAAAAACCCGCTGCAACATGCTGTTAGACAGGCTCCAAGGCGCTCATCAGGCTCTGGCCTGATTGAGAAGCTGGGTCCTTTGCAAAGCCTGCCAAGATTCAGACTCATCCAACATCAAATAGAAGATGGTCATTACAACAGATGACAGTGGTGGACCTCAAGACGCTCGATGCGCCCATTGAAAGCGGCCATTCTCCAAGCTGTTTGCGCCCCCGGCCGATGAGTATCTCTAATGAGGGATATCCTAGCCGTTGGATGTTCCCACTAATTAAATCGACCATGGAGGTTGCGATTTGGAAGTTTCCAGTTTGGGAGACTATTCCTGTTTTTCATCGATTGTGCTTGTGGATAATGCCGGCAAAAAGACTGGGCTGTTAAGCCAACATGCAGGATTTATCAATAACTAGCGTATTTGGATGGTGGGGATATCAAACCAATCAGTGGGTCTTTCCGAGACTCTAGTTGGAGCTCGTAAATGATCCCAGGAGCTATGTCTAATCATGTTCAATCACACAGCTTTGTAGAAACAGCCATCAATAATGGTTCAATAGTTGTATCAAAAGAATCACTACGAAACACCATTGAGAACAATTTAGTTGTATCCACAAGTTTGCTGTTGAAAACATTTTATCCAGGCCTTCCTTCAGCCTGGGTTTGCTCTCTGAAGCCCCATGTGGCAAGGCTGGTGGAGACACTTGCCCTGGCAACGGAGGAACCTGCACAGCGGATGATGGAGGTCATCATCACCAAGGAAAATCGCCAAGAAAAGGGATGATTGTCCCATGCACAAATTGGATTTCCTATTGCCATGTTATTGTTCAAAGGTACCGAACTTATAACCATTTCATTTACACTCACTGGAGTGGGCGATACCTACCCCTTTTTTGCTGGCAATTCCCCTGTTTTCTTTATGGAACTTCGGATCAAGATGGAATATCGTACTCCGTATGTTCCTTGAAATTGTAACAAATCATGTATCAATGTACATCCAGAAATGTTCTATAATATCATCATATGTGTATACATATATATATATAATAATAATAATACATAATTATTATACATCTAATATAGATCCATGTGTATACCATATACATCATATACCAATTAATATATATATATATAGCATTTATCCCCCACATGATCTGCCGTTCGTTGGCGCCAAACGCTGCCTTTTCTGACGGCACGGAGGCATCAAGCTGTCCGCGGCCACCGGGCAAATAGCTCTCCTGGGGCACGTTGAAAACAATGTGACCTCAGCGAGGCACTGGGCGCAGCTTGGGGGATTTACTATGGGCGCTTGGGCTGGGAAATGGGGATGTAAAATGGGATGTATCAACCAATACTGGATCATAATGGGATTTCATGTGGGGATATAATGGGATATGCCACCAACAAGATGGTTTTTCTGTGGTGTGTCTGACAAACTGGGGTCCGCAAGATGGCCAAAAACAAATGGGGAAACATGAGGTTCCAATCCATCAAAGTTGGGGGGTCCCAAGATTTCCCAATCTCTACGGAAGGGATTGATAAACCATCACCAATTTTGCCACAAATTACACCATCAATTATTGTGGAGATAGTGGATGGTCCCAGGATGCACTTTTGAGTTGAGATTTGCGGGAAACTATTGGCAAAGACCATCCGGCAGGTTTCTGATTTCAACTTCTCAGTAGGTCTGATCCAATAAGATTGTGGGAAAATGTGGGAAACATCATCGGCGGAAAATCCAGGAAACTAGTATTTTGGCCATCCAAATAGTTGGGGGTTTTGCGGATTTCCTGCCATGTTTTGCTTCAAGCCTTAAACTTAAATCCATTCTGGCTGCAAGCTGTATGTGCCTATGATGCCATCTATGGTGGGATGAAATTTGACAAACGCAGCTCGACCGCAATGATGTGCTGCCTAGCAGCTATTTGGCAGCGTTTTCTTCACATAGTCAAATATCTTTGGTGCCTGCTCTCGGGTTTTGATCGCTGACACCATGAACTTGCAATGGTTGCGAGAGAGCTGAGCTTTCAGAAACCCCCCACACTGCAAATACCCTTTACCGTGTCAGACTACCTTCCTGGTCGTTGCGTAGATGGCGTAGATATTCATACACTCGGAACAGGAATTCGCTGGCGGTCACTGGTAAAATTATGTTAACAGGACAAGACTCCTTGCCACAAGAGACTGGTTGGAATGTATGTCTACGTTTTCTGATCCTGGCACATTCTCCTCAACTATCTTCCTATCTTTTCCCACTGTTCTATTGTGAGTAGCTCCCTATGTTTCGGTGATTTTCCCTGGCGATCTCGGCTGTGGATCAAAACTGGCTGGGATTCATGGATCATCCCCAATCACCCCACCTTGGGCGGCTTCTCGGGAGGCCTCTCTCCAGTTGCCTCTGCAACAGCCTGTTCTGTCAAGCGTTTCCGCAGCGCTGAACACCTCAGATGCCGCTGGGATGAAGTCTGTGGATCAGATCCATAATTGGTATCCACTATTGGTGTATGTATATTGTTTATTTGTATATATATATATAATTATATATGATATATATATATATATATATATGATATGATATGATATGATATGATATGATATGATATGATATATGATATATGATATATGATATGTGATATGTGATATATGATATATGATATATGATATATGATATATGATATATGATATATGATATGATATATGATATATGATATATGATATATGATATATGATATGATATATGATATATGATATATGATATATGATATGATATATGATATGATATATGATATGATATGATATGATATGATATGATGTGATGTGATGTGATGTGATATGATATGATATGATATGATATATGTCTGTATGTTATGGATAATATCAATATACATATTCATATTATACATGTATGTACAAGTACGATACTTTGAGCGGATTTGAACGGATTATACTTCCAACTTGCACCATGGAGACACAGGCCAACTGACGCACAGTTCATTGCAGCCAATTTGCCAGTCAAGATTGTTGGGAGCTCGGATGTGAACTGAAATGCAATTCTCCTGCTGCAACTGCAGGATGTGGCCATGAAAAAATGCGGATTGATTCCCCCAGGAAAGTGGCCATTGAAAAATCGGGAAAATGATGATAAACCATGATAATCCATCGACTTTTTGAGGTAAGGTACCCTATTTTCGGACAAGCCCACATTACATCTGACCTGTGTCTGGCAGCTAATCTCCTCTGGGGCAGAAGTCAAAGTGAAGGGATGAAATTCACCCTTCCAGCCGAGCATAATGTATTGCCCTGCCTCTGTCACCAGCCACCAATGACAACTCAAAGTCGGTCTGCACTAAACTGCTATTATCAGAATATGTCGGCTAGGGAGAATCCGGTCCTCATTTCTTGTCGGGGCTATCTGCACATACAAGTATCGACCGAAACAAAGAAATTCATAGAGATTCTACTTTCCAGCTGGTAGCATGATCTTCATGTTACAAGCAGCGCGAGAGGCACAGAGTATTGGAACGGCAATGCATCTGGCGCCTGGTATACAAAGCCCTGCGGGATGTCAAAGGTCAAATTAATCACATCTCCTGAGCGACCCATGGAACCGAAAGCCCATCTATACTTGAAGCGTAGATGGCAGTTGCGGCGGAGTGGGGTGACTACCAATGGCTTCAGACATTTTGGTTTGCACAGCTGCTTCTCTTCTTGGTAACAATGTTCTGTTGTGTGAGCCAATAGAGACAATGTCAGAACATGTACCTCACGTTGGCTATTGGCTCATATTCTAACTCAGCCCGAGAGTCTTGGAAGGAGCTTCACGTGTTTCAACGAAAGGTACATTTCTTGATGGGTGGAGAGTAGCATGCGATCCACGAAGATGAAGATGGCTGGGAAGAAGAACCTCAGACTCCAAGGCATTGCAAAGGACAGCGCAAGGATTGTGCAAAAACCTGCGGTCGACCACTTGGTGGTTTCTCTGCGGAGCACAACGTGTGATGTACAGCCGGGCAGCCAAATCCACAGCCTGGCAGGAGCATGAAGCAGAAGCAGAATATAGATGAACTTCCAAGACATGTGAACTCTCCAGAACCTCAGCTGGGCGAAAGTTGCAGAATGCAACCTTTAAACATGAAACAAATGTGAGACTCTGAGACATTGTGGGACTATGGAGTCTCCTTCACTGAAGACCGGATGCTCTGGGATTTCAAACACATTCAAACTCTTTTTATCGGTCTGACCAGCCTCAACATGGGCTCAAGAAAGCCATTGGAACGGCCCAATTTCTAGCAAGAAGCAGATTGAAGCCGCCCAAGCGGCGTGTGACAGCATTGGTGCCACGGCGAACACAAGACATCGCCTCGGCTGATAATCTTTGAGCCACTTAAAAACGGAAAACTTGCTGTCGAGGATATGGCTGCAATATGCTGCAATGATTCCTAGATATTCGAGCTATTTCCAGCTCTTTCCAGCTTGTCTGAAACGCTTTTGGCAAGGCTGTGACATAATTCCTGTCCCAGAACTCCCAAAGTCAACTGCCCCATTTCAAGGATCGCCAAGAGTCCGTAAGCAGGATGGCGGCCATCAGAACGGTCAGGATGAGTCCAGATAGAATAGCACAGCGGTTTTGCAGATTCACCAACTGCGGATGGGTCAGCTTCAGCTTCAGCCAACATGAGAGGAAGCGGTCATCAAAAAGGGACTTGAAATTACTTGTAGAGCCACTCAGATAACGTAATGGCCAATAGCCTGATCATCATGAATCATCATGAATCATACTTCTATTCTATTCGTTTTTCATGCCATCCTCTGCCCCAAACCCTTTGTGTATCTTTGTGTCATTCCCTTGCACTGGTTGGCTCTTCAAACGGGAGATTTTCACCATAGGTCAAGATACCCAGAAGCCCTTTCTAATCATCAGGGATAACCAGCCGGTACTGTTGCCTGCAACCAGAAGGTCATGCCACTGGCTCGCTCTCCGTCCGTCAGCTTCCACAGCTGCAGTGGATCCTGCTGCATCTTTGGTGCTGCCTGAATTTCGTAGATATGAACCTCGTGAGCTCGGACGACTGGAAGGGACTGGAAAGGACTGGAAAGGACTGGAAAGGACTGGAAAGGACTGGAAAGGACTGGAAGCGACCTCTGTCGCGCTTCACTTCACGGAAAAATCACTGGAGCTGTTCTAAGGTCTGAACACAATGAGCGATGATGTGGATGAAAGCACCAATAAAGGTGAAGCCTGCAATGACCATGTGGAAATTGATTGGATCCTCAGTCAAACAGTTGGCCAGTTTGATTCATCAAACCTTGGCGGCTCTGCTAGGAGTAGAAAAAATTGCACAAACGAGGATTTTTGAGTCGAAGGCCGTCAAACCAAACATCATAATTCCTTTGCACTTCTCGTCTTCACTCACGCAGCTGTTGCCACGACATCTCCTGTTGTTGCATTCAAACTTGAACCAAAAAGTAAAACAAGCCCTCACAGCTACTCCCGGCTGCTACCCAAACCACTCTGCCCCATCAACTTCCAGTTCGCGAATTTTCAGTGGACGCAATCCTGACAGCAGCCGATATCTTGATTGCCTTTACTTTCTCAAAGGAGCCATGCTATCACTTGCCCGTTTCCCGGTGAGTAGTGAAGCTTCCTTGGGGTTCAATACCAAACTGCCTTTTTCTTTGGAACCTGCGGCAAACTCCAGGAACTTAGACCCCATGAATTGCATCAGGCCACGTCAGTTGGAATCCATTCGCGAGACGAGCCCATTCGCCTGGCATCCCCGCATTCTTCTTAAACAAGAGCAATCCAACAGTTATGTCAGCCACTGTCAGCTGCACGCTGCCTGGTAGCTGTTTGTAAGCTTTTGAGCGTGGGCAGCACCAGCATTGCAAAGTTCAAATCCATGCTGTAGCCACCGCCCTGGCCCGGAAAAGTCCAACAACGTGTTGGTTTTTTTTGACCAATCCTCAACCGCGGTGAAGCGCCTTGGCAAATGGGTAGGCCCAGGAGCCCATGAAGCCTCCGTTGAGGTTGGATAGAAAGCCAATGGCGAAAACAAGAATGTTCAGGAGGCCGTACCTGTGACAGCTCAAGGCGAAACCCTATGTTGTTTTCACATCAAGAGCATTGAACAAACGATAGATTGTGACGCAATATCACAATATCTTTGGTATTGAAGAAATTCTTTGCCGCAAAATGCCGCAAAAACTTAGCCCCTTCTCATGGCACGAGGTAGCCAAATGAGTAACTTTGTCGTTCTTAACCCCCGTAATCTCCCGATTCCAGTGAGGTCACCCCCATCTCGGCGCACATCAGGGTGGTCAGCCGCTGCTCTCCAAGGCCACACCGACGGCAAGTACGGTTGAAGCTCTGGAACCAGCTCACCTTTTCCTCGCCATCAATGGAGCCATCGTCGGAATACAGCTCGTGAGATGGACCCTTAAAGATCTTAAAGGATCTTAATTTTGCGGATGATGAGGATTCATTGGAATTGGAGCTACCCTTTAAACCCATATGTCGGGATAAAATCTGAAGGGAAAAATACAGGAAAAGAAGATCAAAATCCCGGTACCAAAGGGTGGTTTAACCCCCAAAAAAAACAAACATCATCCGTGATTTGGCCACTGCTCTCATTGCGGCAGGATGGATGCGAAGATCTGTCACACTTACTTATCACCACTAACTTAAAAGGAAAATCCGCTAGGAAAATCCACATGCTCTAGCATATGGGTACAACGCCCAAGCCATGTTTCTTATATGTGGTTCACCTTAAAGTTGACATGACCTCAAAAGTCGGGACACGTTCAGCCAAGCATCATCTGGGATCGACAAGTCGGTAGCCTGTGCGTTTGGGCCAGAGGAAAAAATCACTTTGCGCAGCAACCCCATCACCATGATTCTTGAACAAGTACTAAGGCCCCCATATATAACTATCTATACATTTTATTGGTTGATTGATTCATTGATTGCTGGGTTCGTTCGTTCGCTCATTCGTTCGTTCATTCGTTCAATCATTGATTGGTTGATTGCTTGCTTGATTGATTGATTGCCTGATTGATTGATTAGTTGCATACATAGTTGTAATTGATAGTTGACTCCACATTTAAACGTCCGCATCGGTTCTCGCCTGATCGCCGCCCTCTTCGTCCTGCACGTAAGCTCCAGCCTTCTTGGCCCATGCCTTCCTGCCGATGGAAGCGCGATACAGTGTGAACATGGGACGTTTTCCAATAGAGATAGCATGTGGATATTTTGGTATGCGTATAAATACACATACTAACATACATATATATATATATACATACATATACATATGCATATGCATATGCATATACATATAGAAATACATATACATATACACATACACATACATATACATATACAGATACAGATACAGATACATACACATATTACATGTATATATATATATATATGCCAATGATAGTTTTATAATGTCAGCTTACCAAGAAACAAAGAAGAAGTGGGTTGAACAACTGGAACGCTCATTGTTGGTGCTGTCCCAAGTGCCTCTGCTGTGCCTTGATCTGACGACGTTGCTCGATGAGTTGAAGCATCTTCTCCTGGTGGACTGAGACCATCTCTCAACATGTCAATTTCTTGGGATCAAATGTGTTTGATCATCTCAAAGGGTTGAAGATGTATGAAAATGTTGAAAGAGCCGCAATCATCAATATATATATATATGTATATATATATATATACGTATGCATTGTTGTTGTTGTTGTAGTAGTTGTTGTTGTTGTTGTTGTTGTTGTTGTTCTTGTTCTTGTTCTTGTTTTTGTTCTTGTTCTTGTTCTTGTTCTTGTTTTTGTTCTTGTTCTTGTTCTTGTTCTTGTCATTGTTGTTGTTGTTGTTGGTGGTGGTGTTGTTGTTGTTGTTCTTGTTGCTATTATTGTTATTATTGCTGTTGTTATTATTGTAGCAGTAGCAGTAGCAGTAGCAGTAGCAGTAGCAGTAGTAGTAGTTGTTGTTGTTGTTGTTGTCGTTGTAGTAGTAGTAGTTGTTGTTGTTGTTGTTGTTGCTGTTGTTGTTGTTACGTAGTGTTATTGTTAATTTATTTATCTATTTAATAATTTATAAATTCATTTATTTGGATATTTTACTAATATTGTTTATTATTTATCTATGTGTGTATTTATTGTTAGCATTATTGTTCTTACTATTGCTTCTATTTTTATTAGTGATTACTGATTACTATGATTTTTTGTATCTGTATTTTGATTCCAATTATGCTTATTCTTATGATGTTTCTACCATTAGTCTCATTACCATTATCATTATCATTATCATGATTACCGTTATTGTTATTATCATTCTGATAATTATTGTTATATATACCATACCATATACATGTATATAATCATATATACATGCAATCATTATATATATATATATATGTCTATACACCCAAATGGCCCAAATTGTCCCAAATTTGAGCGCTACACTTGACTGTGGACCAAGGTCACATCCACAAGGAAAGTGTCCTCTTTGAGGACCCATCGAAGAATACGAGGTCGGTAGCGGGTGGAAAATAGCCAGCTGCTGGGATACCTGGCGATGGAGTTGCTGATTTCTGAGGACGGAGTTGTGGAAACTGAATCATCAAGAATCATAAATCATCATAAACCATCTACAGCTTGAAGTATGATAGACAACAGCAGTCAGAAAAAAATCGGTGCTCTGGTTCACCAGCGACGAAAACCAACGTTTGCCAAGCCTGGCCTATAAGCCCAACAAGCCCCCAGGATGTAGAGGATGATCAAAACTCCCACAGCAACGCCTTTGCACGGCTAAATCATCCGAACTCACCCAATGATTGACAGTGAAATGCCCCATTGATGGGTAGATTCGCATTGATGGTTAAATATGGTTAAATAAGTTCAATCTTTACGTTATACAGTTACGAAAATGACTTAGAAAAAACCTGTTTCGCCATCATGTTCCAAGTTGCCTAAGCCAATGAGGAGGCTTTCATAGTGCTCCAAGATGACTCCTGTGACGATGATGACCGCCTTATGGGACCTGTTGCTGAAATCCTGAGCGAAATCTGCAAATCTGCTTGGTGCTTGAGCTTTCATCCACAAAAAAATTCTCGGCCATTGGGGATCATCATCCCATTTCGATGCTTGTAAGACATGTTTGAAACCACGACTTTCTCCGCTTTCAATTTCGCGCCACCTTTATTTAATTAGCATTCGAAAGCGGCCCGGCTGTTTGAAACCACCAACCTGTTTTTGAAAGGGATCCAATGACAACGCCCAGCGACGTTGTTGCGGGTGCTGGCCACGTAGTGCTCGCCCACTTGCTTCATTTCCACCAGGCCTCCATCAAAATAGGCCGAAGCGCCGTTCAACTGCTTGCAGTTTGTCCTGGGTCATTGCAATTGCATATTCGAAATGCGCTTGGAAGACGTGTTCTTCTGCCACAAAAATGTTCTTGTAGGTATAGACAAGACCTACAAGTATGTATGTATACTTATATATATAATTATATGCGTACATATATATATATATTATATATATTATATATATATATTATATATATATTATATATATTATATATATATTATATATATATTATATATATTATATATATATTATATATATATTATATATATATTATATATATTGTGCGTGTGAACTAACAATCAGAAAATTCTTCTGATCTCACTGAATGCATGATGTCAAGTTGTCAGGATCAAACATATACTCTGCTTGCGATAGCTTGAGCGTTTGTAGACAGGTCGGAACAAAGATGAACAGGTCCCTCTTCATACTGAAGGACCTAGTTGGCAGATCCCCAGGGCCTGCAATCAAACTTTGGCGTCCCGTAAATGGACAACAAGGGTCCAAAATGCAACATTGAATGCAAAATTCTGGAAGACCAAAGCAAGGTTCAGACTCTTCAGATTATACTGCAGCGACATGCAGCGGCAACATGACTGCAGCAATTGCAGCAAAGCTTCTCTGAGTTTTGGTCGTTGGTCTCAGGGTCACAAGTTACTATACTGTCTTGGTCCAGATAGGCAAACTTCGTCACCAGGCGCTTCCCCTCCTGCAGAAGAAATGATGTGGATCAATCTTGCATGTCCACCAAACAATTTAGGTGTGTCTGAAATGAAACGTATACTGAAAATGAAGATCAACCAATGGATGTAGGGGTACCCTATTTACAACTAAACAATCCCAGAGATAGTAATGTGGTAACCCAACCATATATAAACCTACCATTTGGGCATGATCATTACCACCCATTTATGATAAGCATAGGGATTGTGTACGATTGGGCTTACCACGTCAAAATGCTCAAGTAGGCTGTCTGATCAAACTGCCTGTGTCTAGACAGCAGTTCCAGCATACCTAAACCTCTTGCAACAGTACGAGTACCTGGTCACCATATAGTTTCCAGTGGTGCGTGCCTCACCTAGTCATCTTGTAGTCAATCTATATCGGAGAGTCAAAACCTATAACACAATTTTTGAGGATGAACATCCATTTGCCAGCTGTTTTCGTTTCAACTACAGGGTGCCAGGGTTTTGAACCATTGCCATGCCATTGCCATAGTTCTTTGTTTTTCACTCATTAATTTCATGTGTTTTAGTTTATGTTCCTTGTGTTGTTTGTTCAACCATTTAATCTTTGTAAAGCTCATCATGATCTGCACAGCTGATCTCTGAACCAGGGCATCCTCATCATTGGGGTTGGCTTGAGCATTGAAGAAGAGGGTGTGCCTGCCAGGAGAAGAGCAACATGCTGCAAAAAAATGTCTATTTTAACACCTGTCATTTCAGGAACCTACCAAAGTTCGGTTTCAAGTCAACAAACAAAAAGAGCGAAAGAGCAAGCTACTGCACTTCGTTGTACCGCAGAACCTATTTTCTAAAAGCTTGCGCTGAACCTTCGCTCTAGGACTGCAAATCTCAACGAGTTTGAAGGATTTCTCTGCGTTTCGCATTTGACAAGTCTCGCTCGCTACTGGCAACACTGCTTAGTCGCTTGTCCATTGGCAGTGGCACTGTCTCTTGGCGGTTTTGTAGCTGAACCAAGTTTGAGCGGTCTGTGCCCGCTCGCCCGTTGCCTGCGAACACAAGCAAGCAGGTGCATTTTGGACACAACTCGAGTCGTTGGTGGTGATCAAATCGCAAATATCCACAAGTTTCATCAAGTTTCTGCGGATTTGGAAGAACCTGATCGTGTCTTTCTGAAAAGCCAAAACCATTGTCTCGCAGTGAATCAACACAGTGGTGGATGCCTGTTATCACCAGGAAGTCGGACATTTGACAAGCTGTTCGCAGATGAGTTGCAGATGTGGGCATGGCTGGATATAAAGAAACCAAACAGACCAAACAGACCAACATTCAAATTACTTTCAACTTGACTTTTGACATATTCACCTACTTCACCTTCTATCATTCCGAAGTAGATCCCAGACAGGAGGCTTCGCGTACCACACAACTGTATATCACCTAGTTCAACCACCATTTAACTGAATATCATTTACTTCTCATATTTTTCCAGCACCCTGACAATTTCCCAGTTCCAGTTTTTTTTTTATGTGTTTCCACAGTTTCCACCGAAGTCCCACCATGACCCACCTGCATTGCCATTGGGGTTTGCATCTGAGCCGGTCCACTGGAAGTGCAGCATGGTGCCCTGTTCCACCGACAGCTCTGAAGGGACGAAGTCATACTCCACCGAGGGATAGACCTGGACGATGTTGCCACGCCGGCCACCTCGGTGATTTCTTGGTATACTGTTTGGCTAATAAGATCTACTATATCTACTATCAATTTTGGTTAATTCGTATATAAGTAAAGCTATTGAGAACTAGAGTTTATAATATGGATAGCGTTTAAGGATCCTATTTCTTTGGGATCCTTCCGATTCTGGATCACTCTCTTCGATTGTTTGCGAAATGATTTTGGATCGTAGGCCCATCCCCCTAATGTGAAATACCCCCAAGAAAGGACCCAAAATGAAGAGCAATCCACTATTAAACCCGGATTTCAATGGATTTCATGTATCGGGGGAAGGGATTACAAAATTTACAAATAAGTATAAATAAGTAATGATTAAACCATGGGATGGCTGGCCATGGCTCAAAAATTGAGTACTGTATCTTGACCTGTTAAAATAGCTGTAGTCCCAAAACATCCAGTTATTATTCGGTAATCCTGAGCATGAAGCAACACTGAGGATAATTCGTGCACAGACTGCTAGTTTGAGACCAGACGCGGACATTGTAATTCACAATGCGCTGTCCCGCTGGTACATCTGTCGGCCTTTCCATCACCTTAGGTGATGCAGAGGAATTCGTCTTCAGTAATTAGTCTTCAGTAGTTGATGGTTTCGCTCATGAATCATTAACATGAAGAGTGGACATATCCTGAAGAATACGGGTCGATACAATCAGTCAATGGTTCAAGCCAGAAACCAACGACTACCCTCGCGCAGAATCTGGGACCAAGACCATAAAGCTGTGCGTTCGATCCTCAAAGGTTCGGCCAAACTGGTTGGTGTTCACTTGTAGTTGGAGGAGACCTGGGTTTTGGCAAGGCTCTGAGTACAGTAGATTTTGCTTTTGCACGCGGTTGGTGGGTTTGAAACATCACCTGTTGGTGCTTTAAAATCGCAGTCAACCTCGGTGCAAAAAGTGATTTGTTGATGCAGGAAACGTGAAGAATCCCGTGAAACACAAGAGGAACCGGAGTGACATGGGAAGATCTGGGGTCTATCCACTCATGACTGCAGGTCTGCCCTCAGGTATCTCGACAGAGGATGAGATGGTCTACATTGGAGGGCCACTGCTGGGTTTGCCACGTTTGCCCCACTGGTCTCCTGGTTTTCCTGCGTCCAAGAATCGATCTTCGCCCAGGTCCACCCAATCTGCCACAGGATCTTGCGCCAAAGGCAATGGCACTTCAGGGCGACCCTTGAAGATACTGCGAAGCAGGCAGGAGTGCGGAATGACAGGGATGCACATGATCATGACGATGGTGATGATGATGATGATGATGATGATGATGATGATGATGATGATGATGATGATGATGATGATGGTGGCGCTGGTGCTGGTGCTGCTGATGGTGATGGTGATGGTGATGGTGATGGTGATGGTGATGGTGATGGTGATGGTGATGGTGATGATGGTGATGGTGATGGTGATGGTGATGGTGATGGTGATGGTGATGATGATGATGATGATGATGATGATGATGATGATGATGATGATGATGATGATGATGATGCTGATGCTGCTGATGCTGCTGATGCTGCTGATGCTGCTGATGCTGCTGATGCTGCTGGTGCTGCTGGTGCTGCTGGTGCTGCTGCTGGTGCTGCTGGTGCTGCTGGTGCTGCTGTGCTGCTGGTGCTGCTGGTGCTGCTGGTGCTGCTGCTGCTGGTGTGCTGGTGGTGGTGGTGGTGATCCATATTGATCCCTATTGTGGCAGGTTGTACAACCCTATGCAGTCCTAACAATGAGCCCACCAGGATGCTGCACACACATCTTCATCTTTCTGAAGTACTCTTTGTTGACAGCAGACAGCACCCCTTTCGGAAAATCGCATCCAGCTGTCCTGCGACGACGATTGTTGGGATTGGGATCATTGAAGCGCTTGTCCATGAAGAAAGCATCTGCCTTCTCTCCTGCCCAGTGGCTTGGCAATCAAAAATGACCTGCAGCCTGACACACCTCCCAGGCTAGGCCTCGGAAAGTTGGCAGACGTCCACTACTCATCTCACGGGAACGGAGTGCTTGAAATTCATTGGCCAGGAACCCATTTCGTGATACAACGGCTCTGTAGCTTGCCTCCACGCATCTTGTTGGAGAGCTCTGCATTGCGGAGACAAATTCACAGCTGTCTGAACGCAAGTCACTAAGTCACTATCCAGGTTGACTGGATCCCCAAAGTGATCTCCCACATTTGGAAGCCTCCCATTTCAGCCCATTTTTGCGCCTGAAAGCTCTGCGTCCTCCTCTATGGGGTGTGCCAGGGAACCATACTGAAAGTCACCGGTGGTGATGTTGTAACGAATGCGGATCACCGTGCGGCCTGGATTTCAGCGGAGATGCAAAACATCAAGAGACTCTACATCATTCCTAAAGAACGACATGAAATCGTCCGCTGTGAAGTCACGGGCCTTTGAGGTAAAATGGAATCTGCCACAAATAGTAGTAGGGTTGACCTCGGACGCCCAGGCTACCGTCCCAGCATCTTTGTCTAGCTGACGGATTCTCATGACATGGGTGACATGAAACTGCTAGACCAACAGCGCGGGCCCTACCTGGTATTGTACAAATAGCTATGGCATTTGGCGATCCCGCCTTTTTCTTCTGGGTTGGTACGGTGGTCTTGACTTCTCAGAGTCACGCGGCCCAAAAGCCACAAGAGGTCTCGAGTCACGAGTAGCCACCAGAAGATCAAAGCCCTTGGGGCGTTGATCTTTGAGCTAGTCGGCCGCCAACACCGATAATTAATCGGATACGGTCCTCTGGCCCCACGAGGAGAAACACTGGGCATGCAATCTTTCCCTAGGCATGTCATATCATGTGTGTTCAAGACAATCAAAGAATCTTGTCGAAGAATTGGGCCACGGATGGCCGCAAAGTGCTGGTTCGGAACGCATGTCATGCCGAAAGCTGAGCCTCCAGCCAAGCTGGTCGGCCTGGTCTCCCTGGGCCAACCCAGGCAATTGACAATTTTTCATACATAAGCTGCAGCGGCCAATCATTGGACACTGGATACTCAAGGACAATCAAAGCCAAAAATGATAGCCGGACAAGCTGGCACCGCCAGCTTGAACGCGAGGCCCAACGAATCGTGACAACTTCCAATCTTTTGTAATGACTTATTATCGTACTATCAACCAATGGCATCATGTAGGCTTTCTTTGAAGAGCATGAGGGAAGGGAACTTGAGACTCGCATCCCTCTGGAGCCCTCTGGTTTACAGACCAATAATCGTTGCCGTCATCCCCGTCATTCTGGCTAGCCCAAGGATTCCTACCATGGGTTGGAGGGGTATCAATGGACCTACCATTTTGGCCTTTCTTGTAGCAAAGGATCCATTTGGGCGGTCGACAATTTAGATCCCTATGACAACCATGGAGCATTTCCGACATTGCTGAGGTGGCTCTTAGAAGGATACGCACCCGTCCCAATCATGCGGACAGCAAAGAAATTATGTTACTTGTCTTCACCATCCGTGCGACAGAAATTCTCAGTTGCTCGGTGATGAGAGATGGCTGCTCTTGCAAGGAATTTGACCACTCCATGCAATCAATTGCCAAATGGAAAATAGACCTGAGAACATCTTGGTGTTGTGAGGCAAGGTGTTACAGTGTATCATTTACTGGAGTGTCAAAAGGTCGGCAGAAATATCCGCAAACAAATATGCCGACGCATCGAATCACGCTAGCGAGATGCTCTGGGTTTCCTGCTCGGTGGTTAACCCACCCATGAAAACTACATCGTGTCACTTCTAGGGATAGAAATGAAAATAGCAACAAGCTCTCCACAAGACCCTCAATGCTGAGAGCATGTCAGCCCAAATGTCGAACAAACATGGGCAGAGCCACTAACCCATTGGTTTCCACTCTGAAAATCGACCATGAAATTCACCAGGTTTTGGCTGTGACCTTGGCTTAGCAAGATGCCTTGATGATCTTGATGTGGTAGGAACTACTGACAATGTTACCAAAACAGGTACACGGTACACGTATTTTATGTTTCGTTCACTTGGAGAGTTTACACAAGAAGGAGGCCAAGACTATTCAGCGAGGACTCTTTGCTCGGATTGATTCAGCCACAGTAAATAATGACAGTATGCTTATGATATCGCTATTATAGTCAGATTCTTGTACCGGAAAGACAATATCATCGGCCACAAAATGTTTGTCATTTTGCAGTCCCATAAAAGGAAGCACACCAAAGTCGTTCTGAACTTCCCTCCCCAATTGCTCAAACTAGATTGTATGAAAGCTGACGCTTTGGGGAAGACAGGCGTCATCCAGAGCATCAGCTTGGAAAGCAAACTAGACTCACGCTGCAAGGCAACCAGTTGACCATGGTCCAGTTCCTGGCGATGGAAACATGAAACTGTAGCATCAAGTTGCGCAGCTTCATTTTGTATAGGACAAAAAATGCCGAAGATTGGGCTATTGGACCATTTCGGAATGATCTCAAAAACACACAGCGAATTCTCTGCCACAGATCCTGCATCTGACTCAGCGAGCGAGTAGATGGCGCATCTCGATATTCAGAAGCGTACCTGGATGTCGTTAAGTGGCTAGGTTCAAAATGCTTGAGGGAAAAAAACAGCGAGATCTAGCGAGCTAATACCAAGAATGCCAAATTGTGTGGGTCCAATGGTGCCGAGTGCGGATTTTTGTTACCAGACCAATGAAAGCTCCAAAATGTTGCAAAATATGTTTGGGTATGGAATTCTTGAGGCCAAGGGCAGCAGGAGTTGGCTGGTCATTGAACTCAATCAATTCTGACCCAAATCCGACTGAAGGTCTGGGAACATGCTTCAATTCAAAGATCTTCAAAGTTCTAATATGTTCTAATACCTTTTGAGTCCCGGATGCTCATGGTTTGTCCCACGAAAGGTTTCATCTTGAGATTGTAAGTTATGCGCATCCTTCATATCTTGGCTTATCTGTCAATAATTCAGCCAAGTTCACCATTATTTTTCGCCTCTGAATCGTCTTCACGGCTCCTGTCCTGCACCCCAAACTGTTGGAGGAAATGCAAATCCTGCGAGCAAAACCAGACTGCAGCTGTCATCCACCTTTGATGGCTGTCCTCCACACCAACCACGCGGCTGTCTCCGACCAACAAAGACGCAGCAGTGGCTGACGGGGAAAACATTCGGATTTCGGAGAGTGGCACCTGGCAGCAGCGTCGTCTCTTGGATCAATGAATGGATTGAGTTCTGGGTGCAAAGATAGGCCTTTTGTCATCCCTAGTCATTGCAAGGCAGTCTTTTGAGAGTCTTTTGAGTGCTTGCTCCGACTTCTTCTGGTATTCTTCCCTCTTGTTCTGGCTCTCCGTTGTCTTTCCTTCTTTACTTCACTTCTTCTTACTCTTCCTCTTCCCCTTCCCCTTCCCCTTTCCCTTTCCCTTCCCCTTCCCCTTCCGCTTCTTCTTCTTCTTCTTCTTTTTCTTCTTCTTCTTCTTCTTCGTCTTCTATTTCTACTTCTACATTGTCTTCTTCTACTTCTACATTGTCTTCTTCTACTTCTGTATCTACTACTCCTTCTTCTATTTGCTTTCATTTAGGTGGTTCCTTCCTCATCCGTCCCCTCCTTCATCTCACTCCTCTCCCTTCTATTAATCGTCCTCATCATCATCTCGCACCTGCTTTGCTAGCTTTCCCTTTGCAGCATTGAGATGCAGTTGTACCTTAGACATTTGCAGATGGCTTGAAGGCACTGTGACCCTGGCAGCAAGACCTTTCGAAACGTGCCAAAACTTGATCACAAGTGGTTCCTTCCAAAGTTCCAAAGCTTGCTTTCTGCATTTTTTCCGGAGGACTCACAAAAAGGCAAATGCGGCAAAGTCTTTGCCGAAACACCCAGCCAAAGAATTGCTTCCGACAGATGGGTTTGATCCATTGGAGCAGATCTGGGACTGCCTCAGGACATAGTCAATTCATGCCAACCTATGCCAATCTGTGTCAATCCACAAATCGGAAATCAAATTTCGGTACCTTGGCATGTTTAACTTGCTTTTGCTGCTACTGAAACACGTGTCAATTCGCAGCCAGTCAAAGTAGAACTTTGGACCTTGAACATCCTTGAAGGCCTTGAGCCTCGCAGAACCATGCCACAAAATCCACAATTCTGAGTCTGGAAACATCAGAGTTCTCCTTGAAGCTCAGTTTGACAGATCGGAATGACAGCCTGTCCACTTCAGGCTGTAGCCTCACCACACAGTTCACGCGATCCTTGGCAGCGTGGGACATTCAACTATTGCTGCCATGTTTGCGGAAAGAGACTGGAATTGAATATTATGTGTGTATATATATATATATGTGTGTGTGCATGTGTGCATGTGTGCATGTGTGCATGTGTGCATGTGTGCATGTGTGCATGTGTGCATGTGTGCATGTGTGCATACGCATGCATGCATGCATGCATGATATATGTATATGTATATTATATATGTATATATGTATATATGTATATATGTATATATCTATATATATCTATATATCTATATATATATATCTATATATATATATCTATATATCTATATCTATATATATATCTATATATATATATCTATATATCTATATATCTATATATCTATATATCTATATATCTATATATTTATATATGTATATATGTATATATGTATATATGTATATATGTATATATGTATGTATGTATCTGTGTGTGGATGTGTGGATGTGTGGATGTGTGGATGTGTGGATGTGTGTATGCGTGTATCTGTGTATCTGTGTATGTGTGCATGCATGCATGCATGCATGTATGTATGCATGTATGTATGTATATGTATGTATGTATATGTATGTATATATGTATATATGTATATATGTATGTATATATATATATGTGTATATAATACATATATATATATATGTACATATATATATATATGTACATATATGTATGTATGTATGTATGTACATATATATATATATGGATGTATATATATATATATAGATATATGGATGTGTATATTATATATGTATATATGGATGTATATATACATATATGTATGATGTAAATGTAAATGTAAATGTATATGCAAATGCAAATTAATGGAATTCATTGGAATGGAACGGAACGGAACGGAAAGGAATGGAATGGAATGCATGTATGCATGTATGCATGTATGCATGTATGCATGTATGCATGTACATACATGTATAATATATTATACATATTATTTGCGTATGCATGTATTCACACAGAGGCTTTTCCTAAAAATGTCTGATACATTGTATATCATTTTATCCACCTCAGCCTCAATTCTTTTTTTAAAAGGCCCAAGGATCCAGACTTCGAAGGCGGACATATTGTCGTTTCGTTGAAGCGCTGCCACTACTATTCGACTCGCTGGCGGTCTCTGCAGAGTCTTGGAGCGATGCCGGCCTAGATGGAGACGATTTTTGGGTGATCCATTCGAAAGGAATGGCGTCCAAGAATGGGATACACAAAAAACCAATTCATGGCCATTTCAATGGGGGAAAATCTGGGAAAATGTGGGAAAATGATGATAAACCATTCAAATTGAGGGGATCCTATTTTCCGACAAACACAAATCCATGAGAGAAGGGTCTTAGCCACTCTCCACAAAGCAAAAAAACGAGCAGCCACTTCTAATATTTCCAGGTGCGGCATCAAGTTGATAGAGACTGCCTATCCCACTAGATTTGTTGAGCATCCAATCTAGTCTTTGCCCGAAATGTGTCAATCCTATGTGCTGGCCCCCATGCCTCATGATTCTCACTTAGCTTTTCTTACGCACTACCGGATTTATCCTATATACAGTTTTTGTTGTCTCTTCTCGTGCTTCGATGGGGAGATGGTTCCACAATCAAGTCTGTTGAACGGCCATCACAGGGAGTACACTTGTGGTCCGACAAGAAATAACCCGAAAAAGTGAGTCCTTGAGAGTGAAAGCCAGGCCGAGGCAGCCTAGTGACTTGCCTTGCTTCAAAGTGTAGCCCAAGATGTGGCGCATGTCTGGCTGTTGGGAGCATGGAAGTTCATTGATGGTATCCATTGCCTCATTGAAATCCTCAGGTCCATTGGCCAACCGGTCCATTGGCCCATTTCGGGGGATCATCAACCATCAAAAATCGGACATGTACCAACTCCTCACTATGGGAAGCACTTCCCAGCACTCTTCAAGCATATGAGGAGCACCCTCTGCGCAAAACAATAAAGGGGTGCAATGAATTCAGACTTCATGCAACAAATGGAAGACAAAATCAAAGCTGGAAACGTGTACAAACGCTAAATTTCACTGGGGTATACTGGGACCCATGGCAGAGCAACTTCTCTTAGCCAGGCAGCCTTAAATTCGTCGACGTCTCGGTTCTCGACTGGTCGATCCGCACATGCCTGTCCAGCATGTGCACGGTATAGTATTAGCCACAAGCGTCAGCAGGGGAAACTGTCTACCACCGAGGTTGCTTGGATTTGTTGATGGTACAAACAAAACCATCTGAATGCCGTCTGAATCATGGATGGGCTGCTATCAACTGAAGCTCTGAAGGATCCATGTACCAAAAATCATCGCCGTTTCTGTTGAGCTGCCCACCTGAGTGATCCCAACTAAATGCTCCCGCTGGCTCGTCAAGCCGGGCACGCAGACATGAAAGATCTCGCAATCAAAGGCGATACCGTTAGAGTCCCTCCTCAGATTGGAGTGCCAAGATCGGCATGTCTGAAATCTTGTAAACCTTCACAATCTCCGCACCAAAATGGTATGAAAATGGTAAGTGGACCCCAGTTTCCGATCCCCATAGCTAGAATGAATGCCATGATTTTGCAACCCAGTCATGCAAAATGGTCAGAAAACATCGCGCTGGTCCATGTGATCCAGGATCCAGCACTTCACCGAGTTTGCCGAGTGTCAACTGGAGATTGAGGGACCGTGGTGTGGTATCATCCTTGGAGGATTCCTGGGTTGCGGGATGTTGCGGGCGTGTCCAAAAGTGAAATTTCGCCCAGGATTCGTTTCCGTCCTCCTGTGAAGCCTTCGACGGCCTTGAAAGGATGGATGACTCGGGCCCAAGTGGTTGCTATGAATATCACCAAAGATGCCCACACTTGATGCCCACACTTGTTAGAAAAGCCCCAACGTTCGTCCCGCAACATCCCCAACACGTGAGGAAATCTTGTCCTCCCCATCAAAGCTAGGACTCGGTGATGAAGTCACGCAGCCTCCCATGGTCATTTGGCGCCACATAGCGAAGGAAGCTGACACCTACGAACAGTGACCCGCTGGTGGCCGTGACCGAAATGTACATCGTGAAGCACCTGTAACTCCAAGTGTTCCAACTCCAAGTGTGAACTCTCAAAGTCCGCCAAAAATCCAACCCTTTGCCAAAATGAACGCATCAAAAGGTCTGAACAGCCCAAGAGTTCCCACCTTCAAGGCTGTTGTTCTTGAAGCCCAAACCGCACATCAGCAAATCTGCAAGGCTGCGGCCCGGCTCCGCTACTCTCAATTCCTGCCGTGGTCACTTGGTCCCCAACTTTCACAGCCGCTTCCACTGTACACTTCTTCCACAACATGGCCATTCATTCCTACGACTTTCAACACTTTGGATATGGGCACCTGCCTAACAAAAGTATACAAAGGTTGAAATTTGGGTGTGGGGAAACTTGGCCATAACTGGGAAATGGGGGGGAGCCCCGAAAGTTATGTTGGTCTTAAAATGGGAAATGAGGGGCTTTCCCACAATGTGAGGCCCCCCCAGTTTTGAGCTGGTTTATAAGCCTCATGAACTATATTATAAAAATTCATAAACAAGAGGTATTGGAGGTATAAACACGTATAAACCAACTTAGCTATCTAGAATCATGTGGGCCCAACTTTCCCACCATTTTTTGGGGTCAAGTCCAAGCATCGTCATTCAGCCGAACGATGGCGTCACAGGTGACCGACAGCAACCGCTTCACGGCATAGCCCGAGATCTCGGCGGCCCTCAACTGCTCCACCTGTGTTTGGGCGGTGTCGGATGGAGGAGATCTATGGAGATCTTTTTTCGCATACAACTGATCTAACCCAGTAATTGTTGTTAAATAGATGTTAATACAATATATACTTCATATCTGTATATAAATTACATATATATATATATATGTAGAGAGAGTGAGCGAGAGATCAATCATCTTGGAGCAGTAGTTATTGTGTATACATGTTTAATGTGTTTTAACGAAAATGGAGGATTTATCTTCAATCCGTGGCCATCAGTTTCGGACAAGCCCAACTCGACAAGCTCACTACGGAACGTTCGCTGAGTTTAAGGCAAATAAGTCGTTGTGAAATTGACATGAATGAACTCATATCCATATCATTGAGTTAAAATGTCCATGAGGCATGAACTTATCTGACGATCAAAGGATTCTCTCATTGCCACCTTTGGCATGAGACCAACAAGATTGTAACAATGTGCATGAACTTATGGCGAGATCGAAAGAGATTTTCACATTCCCACCACCTGCAAGAACTTCTCTACTTATCAAAAAGATGTGTGAAAAGATTGTCACATTACCAAACATTGCCATCAGATTTCGGGAAGAGGGTAAATACAGGAGTTAGAAAAATCGGGATTTAATTCTGATAGGTTGTCCTTCCACGGCTCTCAGGAATTATCTTGTGTTTTGATTCAATCTTTCCACATGCACGAGTTGTTCTGGCATTGCCGGACAAAGAATTAAATTTGGATTCATTCTTGACATGGCCTGCCACTTGTTCCAAGAGCTAGAGAAGGTTATGTTAATGGAATTAACTCCTTATGTTTAACTCTTCCAGTTAAGCTTAAGCTTAACGCCACAAAAACATACAAAAACACAGGTTTGCCAAGAAAGCCGGTCCAAGCAAAGGCCCAAGCAAAAGATTTACACTTGTTTCTTCCGCTGTTTAGTCTGCTGGAACAACAGCGTCAAAATGTCGATCGATCGCACGAGTGATTTGAATTGGACTGTTCCAAGTCTCTGGGTGTACGGAGACTGATAGCTTCTAGGTATGAAAGTTTACAGACTTCGGCAAGATGTATCGTATGTATACACCCTCAGTAACTCCCTCTATAAAGTACTTGTAAGTATGTAAAGTTCAATATCTATGGAGAGCCAACTTGTAACTTCACGTGGCAGCACAGGCAAAGCTGTATGTATTTGTCTATAATGTATACGTATATGTATTTAATTATATAAGTTACAACAAGTTTCTTATCTTCATGTTAGGATTTGATAAGTACTTATGGAAGTTAACATAACTATTTAAGAACACGTAATATAAGCTATCGGAAAGTTATCAAAAGCGCAAGAACGAACTGTTTAACGGATTGGAAACACACAGAAAGGGCATGTCTTGAAAGAGGATGTAGTCAGAAATGATAGTTCCCGAAAGGGATGGAGTCAGCGATGACAATTCCCGAAAGGGATGCAGTCAGCAATGATAGTTCCCGAAAGGGATGCATTTGGTCAGAGATGAATATAAATATAAATGATAGTTGCCAAAAAGGAAATGGTCCAAAAAGAACAATTCCTTATATAGTCTGAAAAGAAACATCCTGCGATTGCATCAGTCAGAAGAATTAACTCCAGATTCCAGATCTAATTCCTGAGGAAGAAATCAGTTTCAAAAGAATTAATACAAGAGTCAGTGAATGTCAGTGATGGAGGAATTCAGCTAGAAGGGGCAGTTAAACCAGAAATTGAATCTGGAGTTAATTCTTTGAAACTCTGGTATTTTCTCCTCTTCACATGGAACAAAAGTACCGGATTGCCACCAATTGTCTGGAATAAGAGCTCGGGGTAGGGCCCCCCAATGGTTTACCATAAATCTGGACTGTAAATCTACACACCAGTCCGTTTCTGCCTTCTCCTCTAGTTGCAGTGCCGCAACTTCTATCTGATACTCCTGTGCCAATGGAAGCTGTCCGTAAAAGGTACTGTACCCCCTTGGATCAGGCGGAGAGCCGTAAAAGCTTGATTTTGCAGGGTGATTGAATGATTATTTCAGAGTGTTTCCCAACTTCCCTTACAACTTACCCCCTTGATTCTCTGGGACTTGCCCCAAAATCTTCGGCTGTGCTCCTTGCTGTCGAAAATGGAAACTGCCATGCCCATAAGGGAAACTGCAATGATTTCATTCACCAGCATGAACATCCTCAGTCAAGACAGGGGACAGACCTACAAGATCCTACAACAAGCTTGGGATCTTGGGGTCTTGGTGACTTTAATGATGATAAACGAAGGAGGATGTGTGCTGTTGGGAGATGATGCCCAAAGAAAGAAGCAGAGCCGAGACAATATTCGATTTCACTCGCTTGAGAGCACACTCAACCCTGCCAACACTATGCAGCCCGTTGCTTCCGGGTCACAACCGACTATATACTCTCGATGGGTCGGGATCGGCTTGCAAAAAGTGCGATAGCACGAAGAACGGAGCCATCGCCACGTTCACCTTGGAGCTGGGCCAGGGCCAGGCTGGGACCTTACGCCAGTGGTAGCCCCTGTTTCTCTGCGCCCCGCACCTTGGTGGCGAACTCAGCGTTGCCCGACAAAGCACACAAAATGATGCGGGCTATGTACCCAGCAGGTAGAAGCTCTCTTGGAAGACCAACCTTGGATGAATATGGATGAAGTTCAAAAGATTTCAATCATCCATGAACAAACCTCTTGGATCCTCTTGGACTGTCTGGGGGATGCCACGTTCAAGGCAAGTGATCACTTTTGGGGGCATGGCACCTGTGGAAACGAATACAAGCATCCATGGCCCGTTGGGCTGCTTGCATATTATCTCAATATACATTAGTTGTGGGATTAGTGGCATCATTCTTGATCAAAACGACTGCGTTAAAAGTTGTGGCTAAAAAAGTGCTCGTGATGCATCTCCAGCAATTGGCATCTGCGGGATTCAACAAAGTCCGATTAAATCCAATGTATGGCAAATCAACCAACATCATCTAAACCATCACGACATGTCTCATTACTTCCAGGCAACCAATCTTGAAGAATCACTCTCAATGGGTGTTAAGACAGTGAGTACACTGAGCACTCTGCTGCAACTCTCCAGCTTGTCTCCAATCCTTTTTTGCTTCTGCATGCTATATAAAAATATATGGACAAATATCTTTGCATCTGCATTGCCTTGAAACAAGTGTCTAAGTAGACAAGACCAGTATGCTTCAATGGCATCTGTCTCATTGACTGACTGAGTATGCATGCCTGGCCATACAGGACAGCAGCCTCCACCCTTCTGCGGCCAGCCACTGTGAAGACCAGGGTAGCACCAGTCATGACCAGTGTGAAGCGCTGCATGCAGTGTGGCGTCAATGGCACCCCTGGTTTCCGCAGCTCCTGACAAGGCACGCTGACTTTGCTTGCTGAAGCATCAAGCACTGCGTTATTTCATGGATTGATTTGAATCAGTCTGCTGCCAAACAAGTGCTGCGTTTCATGTGCCCTCTGGTAATTTAACATAGCTATGGAAAATCACCATGTTTAATAGGCAAAGCATCTATAAACGGGCCGTGTTCCAGAGCTATGTGAAATGACCAGAAGGTAATCGACGTTCACCTGTGCATTGTCCATTGCTGGCACCAAAAAACATCCCCATGACCCCGATGTCCTTGAATACAAAGTTGGCCGCCGCGCAGGTCAAGAAGTTTGGCAGCTGCATGATGTCGCCAAAGACAAAGCAATTCTGCACCAGAAAGCTCAGGAGCAGATAGACCTTGGTCATCGGACGATGACTCTGGATACTCTGACGTGCAGATAAACTATTGTCAACAATCGAAAATCATCGAAAATCATCCATTGTGGCCTATGTTCAACAATCGAAAATCATCCATGGTGGCATCATTTGTCGCTTCCTTGGTTGTTTTTGCTGTGTTTTGGTACGGCAACAAAGTAAAGAGCTCGTTTTTCTAATAGCAATCTTCAATCAACCCGGTAGAGCTATTCTTCGAAATCAAGTAAACTTGCGGCAAAGGATATTCTGATATACTGGTTGTTAGTTGAGCCACACATTCCAACATCATGAATCAACTAGGACCATCCTGGTGATGAAATGTACAAAAGACTTGACACCAGCAACTAATAGACTACACTAAAGGCATGGTTTTTGTGTAGGTGGTTCTCCAAAACGTGCCAAAATAATCCCTGGCCCCAACCTTTTTTTCAACTGGCCTCAGTGGTAGCAGACCAGACTGTCATCACAGCTTTCAAAAAATCTTGCCGCTTATCTTGAAGCCGTTTCCGTATTTCTTCCTCAGTTCCACCAACCGCTGCAAAACGGCAAAATGTTTCACATGGACAGAATGGACAAAATGTGAACCTGGCAAGGTATTCATTCCCGTGGGTTCTGCTAAATTCAAAAGGTGTGTATCGCATCTCAATGACCCTATCAGATCAAGCTACTTTGGTTCAATTGAGTAGCATTCCTCCCTCTCTGGGTGAAGAATTGGTTAGCACTTTCCTCCCACAAATGATGCAACTTCTTGCTCGCCATTCTGCTTGAATTGTGGGGTATACCTAGCCGAAACAGCGCACAATGTGGAGCGTGAACGTATGGGCTGGGAAAATGCTAGCTGACAAGTATAGTGCTGCCATCAACAGGTCAAGCATCCGACCTGTCCAATTTACTGTCTTCAGCAACGCTGCTTAGCAATTGCAGTTTCTGCAAAGCCTGACCCACCTGCAAGAGCAACAGACACATTCAGGCACAGCAGTGATTCTTGGACCTAGTGTCCCTGGCTCCCAACATCATTCCAATCGCATCCCTGGACAGTCATCACACATCAGACTACGCCAAGTTCCAGTAATTTCCAGTATGCCCCAGTGACATCCAATGACCCAATGCACCTTAATTGTCGGGTCGCCATATCTGGAAAAACCAAAGTGGAGCAGTAGAAGCCCGCAGAAAATCACCACCGCGCAGGCTATCATGAGACCGACTGGGCACGTGGGACCCAGTGGCACGGTGGCACACCTGACTACCCTCTGGATATGTCACGAAAATATATTGAAATCCCTTGAAGATTTTCCAAGTCACCAAACGAATCCTGATGAACCGACTTACATGGACTTACAAGTACCATATCCATCCAATTCCATCCATGTCTTGCGTGAACGAAAACATGTTTCTTCTGGTCGGTGAAAGGATTCCGAATTGCATTTCTGACATCGCAAGAGACCCCACTACAGAGCCAAAAATGCTGCGCCACATCGACATGACAAGAAAGACTTTGTTAATTTTTTTTCAGCTGACGCCCGAATGCTCTCCAACCAACATCAAAAAAGTCTAGCTCAGCAATCACTGACCATAACTGACCATCACTGAATTCCATCCATTTCCTTCCTATCCTTCCTGCATTTCACCCACGCCTTTGGAGCTCCCATTCTGAACGCCGAGCCGCCATTGCGCACGTTGCCATTGTGATTGTCGCGGCTTTGGATGCCGCCCAAACACTCCGGTGCCGGCTCGTTGAAGGGGGCGACTTCTTGCCACCTCGCTGTGGAAATCGAATAACAAACCACAAAGAAGAACCCATGATTTGTTGTACCAGTATTTAGCCCAAACAATAGTTAACCCAAACAATAAATCTAATACAACCCATGGTGCGCCAATTCATCAGTTGCGTTGAATCTGCATGTGTTCGTAAAAGGCACTCTCCATCGTTGCTTTCGCAAGCGTCACGGTTGTTGTGGGCTGGGATGGAGCAAATGTGTTTGGCCTGCGGTCATGCAGCACCAAGGAAAAAAAGCAGAGGTCCAAATAAGTAACAAAAGCCATCAAACATAAAAACACTGGCCTTAACATTCTGCGACTCCATCTGATAATAAGCACATCGCGTCTCTGGCTCATCAGTCAGAATAGCAATGTCGTGCCAAACAGAGGGATGCCAGTATGGATAGTAATCCCGTTCCTGCAAAGCTGCCAGGCCGATGCATCAGACCCAGCTTGGTATATGTTTAATGGGACGGACAACCCCAGGAATTGGGGATTTATATGCCAAGCGTGTTTATTAGTTACGATCTGTGGATATCTGTGGGGTGATCTTCCAATTGACATCCCATTATGTTTTATTGAGTTATATTCCCCTGTTTATTGTTCAAACATTCCCAACTGCTGATTGTCAGTATCCCCATGGTATCCCCAGTATATCCCAATATATGATAGCGCAGATCTCAAAAAATACGTCCATAACCTCCCCATTCAAACCCATATTTCATACTATTATCCTAGTATATGAAGATGCGTCAAAACCCTGTACTCCTTTTGCTCACATCAAAATAGTTGGGATTGATGGATGTCCCCCTAAAAATTGTATTTACAGGTAGTGATCCATATCCATAACAACAATCTCATAGTAAAAGAAACAACAGTCATACAGTAGCAAAATAAAATAGAGTAAATATGATACATAGTGACAACTACTGTTGCAGCAACCATTATGCAGTAATACCCTCCAATAAACTAACATCGCTATGGAAAATGGCCCGGTTTGTTTCGATGAGTGTACCCATTAAAGTGGTATTTGTCCATAGCAAACTGTTAACGAGCTTACTGGCAAAGTACCAATAGTGAAAGGAAGTTTCATGGAGGAAACTCCGAGCTACGGACGGTTTTATTCTCACTAGCCCAAAGATCATTGTGTCTAGCTGGCACCTGCGTTAAGAGATCATTGTGCCCAGTTGGCACCTGCGTTAAGAGATCATTAAGTCACATACTCACTAGCACAAAGATCATTGTGTCCAGTTGGCACCAGCGTTGAGAGACCATCAAGTCACACTCTCGCTAGCCCAAGTCCAGTTGGCACCTGCGACAAGAGATCAAAAAGTCACATTCTCGCTAGCTCACAAAGATCATGAGGTCCAGTTGGCAGCTGCGTTTAGAGATCATGAAGCCACATTCTCAGTAGCCCAAAGATCACTAAGTCCAGCTGGCATGTACCTCAAGTAGAGAAGTATCTAGTTGGCATGTATCTGAAGTAGAGAAGTAGCTCAAGACCTGCACGGCCAGTTGGCATGAACATGAAGTAGAGCAGTAGCTGAAAAGATATTCCAGTACAGTTGGCATGTTCCTGCCTAGTGTAGAGCAGAGTAGAGGAAAGTAAGAGCAGGCTAGAGTAGAATGGAGTACAGTAGATGAGGGACGAGAAGAGGAGAAAGGAGGTGCTTTTGCGTTGTGTGTTGCGATTCTTGCAAGTCATTGTTGGCAGATCGCATTGGAACTGATAGATCGAGGATGCGATTTGAATGTTAGGATTTGAACGTAACGAAACGAAACATGGTGTTTTTTTCGGGTAAACGGATGTTCTGTTGCGGAGAACAGTTGGATCGATGGCGTGACGGGCGCGGGCGTCGTCGCTCTGCCGTCGAATCTGTCTCGATCTGCGCGCACACTGTAGCTGAGCTCTCCAGGTGACTTTTTCTCTTCTTTGTTCACGCTGTGCTAGTTTGCTTTGCAAGTCAGTATCTGCAGATCGCAGTGGCATGGTTGCGTCAAGGTTCCTCGCTGCTGCGGCTGCGTGCGTAATACTAATATCTTTTGCAGCTGAGAGTCGCAAATCGTATTGGAGTGGCTGCATGAAGGTGGCGAAAGCTGCTTTGGCAGATTTTTCTCCCTGATTTTCTTTGTAAAATTCCTTTTAAGAAGTGGTTCAAATCGATTTTTTTTGCTTTGGCGCCGAGATCCGGTTTTGGAGCTGCAATTTCTGTTGCTGCTGCGCTTAGTTTTTCTTGCTTTGCAACTCAGTCTCTGCAGATCGCAGTGCAAGCGTATTGGAGTGGCTGCGCAGATGATTTTCCTTTTAACTTCCTTTTAGAAAGTGCTTCAATTGTTTTTTTCCGGTTTGGCGTCGAGATCCGGTTTTGAAGCTGCAATTTCTGCTGCCATGTAGGTCAAAATTTCATTGTGTAAAAGCTGGCTTTGTGTAAAAGTTTCTCTGCGCACAAG